TCTCTCTCTCTCTCTCTCTCTTTCTCTCTCTCTTTCTCTCTCTCTCTCTCTCTCTCTCTTGTTCTTTTGTTTTCTCTCTCTCTCTCTCACACACTCACACAACACACACACATTCACACACGCACACAAACGCAGACAAATATAAAGCTCCAACTTGTTATCAGTTCATTCTGCCTTACAGTCCAACAAGTAAACCATTTACCTTCAACACCCAGTCGTCATGTAGCTTTTTCCTGATGATGTGACTGGGGAAGAAAACATCAAAGACAAAGGTTATGTCCAACCCACAGTCCTTTTCTTCAAATCTCAACAGTACAACAACACATGATGAAACATGTCTTCAACAACAATTCTTTGAATATTGAATGGTTCAATAAAACAACTTCTAAAAACTCGACACACGAAAGAAGCAGGAACTCTCTCTCTCTCTCTCTCTCTCTCTCACACACACACACACACAGACACACAAACAGTCTAACTCACTGAGACAACTTGCTTGGCTCTATCACGTAACTCTGAGAGTTCTGACTCCTTTTGTTGTCTCCCTTGGAGTTCTTCATGGTCAAGTCTTTGGCAAGAATGGTCAGCAAGTTGACGTAGCCTTGGTCATCTCCGTACAGAATCTTGTCCTCCGGCCCTCCGTTGGAGTTGGGGATACTGACCATACACTGGGGCGAGTGCTCGATCGGCTTGATGATAAATATACTCTGGGAACAACAGCAAGAAAAACTTATTGTTTCAAGATTAGAGTTGATGATAAATATACTCTGGGAACAGCAACACGAGAAATCTATAGTTTCAAAATCAGAATTGATGATAAATATACTTTGAAAAGTGTAACAAGTTAAACTAATTGCATGAACATTTGATTTGATAAATATATTATCTGAAAGAGTAAGAGTTTAACAATTTACCAATATTTGAATTGATAAAAATATACTCTGAAAACAGAAACAAGATTGTGTCAAGATCTGAATTGGTATAAAAAACTAAATAAAAAAACAAAAATGAAACCAACCACATTTTACATTGGAAAAGATGACAACAATGACATTTGTAGTACAAGACAATGTTAAGTGATTCTTTAAGAAAAAAACTAATAAAGATTTCGATGTATGGCGTCAGAAACTCGATTAGAAAATGAACTTTTTTTTTCTTGCAAAAACAGAATGAAAATGATTCTAGAATATGTTTATAATTCTATGCAGCAATGATTCTAGAATATGTTTATAATTCTATGCAGCAATGATTCTAGAATATGTTTATAATACTATGCAGCAATGGGTAAATTACAATAATATTGTCCCCAATTCTTTAACTTCTTGACCTAATGCACACCATTTTTGGTCAGGGGGGGGGGGCACAGTGGGGTCACAGTTAGAGTATACAGGAACCAGAAATAGCCATCTGTTTGTGATGGTTGTGGGAGGCTATACTTTACTTTTACCTATGTTTACTATCGTTGTTAAACTGTTCAACTATTCCAAGTTCAGAAAGCAAAAAAAAATAAAAAATAGTAGAGAGAAAAAACCATTTTCATTCTTTTACCAAGTATGCCCCAGTTATGCCCCAGTTATGCCCCAGTTATGCACCATTTCTTGCTTTTTTTAACATTTAGGATTTGAATTAAGATATTTCCCGATATTTCCTGAGCACACGCAACCAATACCATAGATTAGAATAATGTAATTTTTAAAAAAAATCTAAATTTTCAGCTAAATACATCTGTTTATCTGGACAACGAAATGTTTCCACTG